GCTCCTGTCAGGGAGACCAGATTAAAGCATTTGTGATGCTGAAAAGTTGCTACTTAAAATCTGTAACTGGTGCGACCCCGGGGATGACCTAATCTTAAAGAAGTTTCTGAATGCGGGAGTTGTGTGGCTTGTAAGGGAGGGAGGTGTGTGGGGGGGAAGGTCTGAGGGAAGTTTGGTTTGCGTTTGACATGTGCACGGATGGCTTTCAGCGTTACTTAAATGGCTCCTGCAAAGAAGGGTGGTGAGAAGAAGAAGGGACGCTCTGCCATCAATGAGGTGGTAACTAGGGAATATACCATCAACATTCACAAGCGGATCCATGGCGTGTAAGTTCTTGGTTTTTATCATTGAAATTGGCCTTGTGTGAAGTGGAGTTTGGAAATGGCTCTTGTAGGTTTTAAACTGCAGAGAACAAGGGTCTGTACTGGCACCGATGCAGTGCGTGATGTTTAGTCGCTTGTGCTACAGTTGTGTCCCGAGGAACCAGCTTTGTACCTGTGCAGATCTATAATTGCAGGTGGCTTTCAGGAACAAGCTTGGGGGTTTTGGGGTTTTTTTTGTGAGTGTTCCTGGATGCAGTTGAAATTAGAGCTATTTACCTCTGTGCATGGGTTGTCATTCTTTCCCAAGCGAAGTTTAAAATTTAGCCCAGTATAGTAAGTTTTAGAAATTAAATATTGTTCAGAAATTAAATATTGTTGTAATCAAATGATTGGCTCTGTGTTTATTATTAATGTCTATTAGGCATAGACATTAAGGTTAGCAGCTACCTACCAGAGTAAAGGACTGATCATACTATGATGCAGCTATTGAACTGCTGTTGAACACAATTCTTTCAATTGTGTGTTTAGAGAACGTCAGTGGTCGAGTCCTGCAACAAGTGTCCAATGCTGACAGTTTCCTGAAGTTAAAGAAATTGCTCTTCTGTCTGTCCTAGGGGCTTCAAGAAACGAGCACCGCGTGCTCTCAAGGAAATCCGTAAATTTGCGATGAAGGAAATGGGTACTCCTGATGTTCGCATTGACACCAGATTGAACAAAGCGGTCTGGGCTAAAGGAATAAGGTAGGTTTCTGCAACTTTCCCTATTGGGTGAGGAAGAACCTTTTAACTGTGTATGTGGAGGTGCAGGACTTACGGGGGCAGAACAATTTGTATCCTTCTTGCAGTATTTGCACTTTCTTTGCAAATGCTTGCTTTCTTACACTGTGCGTGCCAGGCTAATCTTTCCATCACCTCTACGTTCTGGCCAGCTCCCTCAGTGTACTTGTAGCAAAGCTTTGGTAAACTCTGGAATTGAAATAACTTTGTTCTACCTCTAATAAGAATAAAGCAAAGGAAAGAAGGAATGCAGGTGGGGATGGGGGGAGGATTGCAGTATTGTAATACTGTAGCATTCCAATCCTTATAGTAGCAGACAGTTTTTAGAAGCATGGCTTTTTAGTGCTACCTGAAGTCCTAGGCTAAGTACTTGGGATTTCTGTAATGTGTCTGAACAGGATTAGGTTTGGAAGCATGTGGAATTGATAAATGCTAGACAAAGTAATAATGAGGTATGTTTTAAGTAGGACCATTAATCTTGTCTTGAAAGTACAAGTAGTTCAGGGGCCAAAAAATCACAACTTCTGTTAAATCACTGCTACAGAAGCCGCTGATTTGGCATGTGTGAAGATGGTCCAAAGGGTGGGAGGAATGGGACAAGTTAAACCATAATAAACAGTTTACTGGTAGGGATTAATACTGTGAGTGATTCAGTGAGTGTGCATGAACCCTTGTTTTAAACCATGTCTTCTAGGAGTTAGATTCCTGAGTCTCACCTGTGACATGTTTACAATCCTTTACCTGGAGTTGTGTGTTCAGGCTAACCTTTCCTTCAAAAACAGAGTGGGAAGATGGGAATAAGTTACTGAGTGTTCTCGCAGGGGTTTTCTGTCCTTCCCGTTGAGCTTGTTTCAAGAAGGGAGTAAATCAAAGCAAGTTCCTGTGTCTTAATTACTGCATCCATCTGATTTAGTAAGTCTGCTCTGAGAACATACAGCAAGGAGGAAGTTCCTTCTCGTCTGTGGAGCCAAGTACTCTGAGCAGGAGTCTCCCAGAATCCTGAGTTCATTTGAGGTGGGAGGTTACTTTAATAATGGTGTGGACAAATAATTTTGTGCCTTCCCTCAGCAGCACGTTTTGGGCAGTATTAGGGGAGGATGCTAAGCTGTGACTTGCCTATTACAAAGAAAACCATCTAAGCAATTTAGTTGTGGTTCCATGGGCTTTGTGAGGAAGAAATACTGATCAACTGTATGCTCATAAATAAGATCTTGGTTCAGGTCTAATGCTCAGTAGAATTTCCACATGACTTCAAGCAAACAGATTAGGCAGTACTCTGACTCTTGACAGGGGCCTCAGGCTTTCAGAACAGATTCTTGGGTTTTTGTTTCCTCACTATTTTCTATTTAAGAAAAGCTTGTTAGTAATAGCTGCTCGCTGATCATATTCACGCTGTGCTTCATGATAATTTTCATAGTGTATTTCCTGGATCAGTAGTGAACTTCTGACTTTATGCTGCCAGTGGATTATGAGTTCATCTTATTCGAAGCTCAATTAAATCATAGCTGCTCACTTCAACAAAACAAAACGCGCCTCTAAGGCAAACAGTATAAGGATTTCGCTCTTGTTATGATGCTGAGATAGAAATAGAATTGACTCACCATGTCTTTGCACAAATAGGCAAAGCTTAAGAATTTGGCATGGGGGCAGTAACCGTGGAGCAGAGAACTTTTCTACAGGTGAGCAGGTTTCAGTACATATTTCATTGAAAAATTAATTTGTTGTCTCCATTTTAGGAACGTTCCTTACCGTATCCGTGTGCGTTTGTCCAGAAAGCGCAATGAGGATGAAGATTCCCCAAACAAGCTATATACACTCGTTACCTATGTACCAGTCACAACATTCAAAGGTAAGGTTGCATGCAGTCTCTTTTCCTCTGTGCCATGTTTTTCTGAAAAAGCAGCGAAGTGGGACAGCTTCTCCTGCAGTGCAAAATTCAAGATGAAAAGCATGCTGAAGGGGTCAAACTGCTGGGCAGACTAGCTCTGCTGTAGAGAACAGGGCTGCTAGCTTGCCTGATCAGCATTAAAAAGCAAATACAGAATTTAGTGAAATAATCCTGTAAATTTTGAAAGAATAAAAACCACTGGCCAGTTTAAGGTTTGTGTTTTCCTATATAAAGTACGTCCTCTGATGTCAAAAGCTCAAGCAGGTTGAACCTTTTCTGCTTGTCATCTGAAAATTATCTATCTATCTATCTATCTGTCTTATTTGCAGAATTGATTTAACATGAAGTTTTTGGTTTAAGATTTGGTGAAATACTTGCCTGTATAGGGTGCTTTTCCAGAAGCAGATCAGTAAACTAGCTTTGAAACTGTTGGTGCACTTTCTTGTGAATATACATATATTGCATTTACATAAAGAGAATTGCCCTAGTAATAGGTGGTGATAGAATTTCTTGTTTTGCAGGTCTACAGACGGTCAATGTGGATGAAAATTAAACTGATTTTCATTACAATAAAAGGATAAAAAGAAAGTTTACTCCTAACTTGGTTTATTTTATTGTACAGTCTCCTCAAGCTCTCATCTGTGAAGTGTTGAGCTGAACAGGTGGCAGACTTAAATTGGGCTTGTATGTAATGGTGTAATTTTCTTAATTAAAGATACTGTAGATTTCCATTACATGTGAAGGGAATAAGGAAGAGATGCCAATGCTTCTATGTGGGTGGCAAAGTACTAGTGTTTTTGTTCTGTTCCTGTGGGAATAAAGAGCCACTACACAGGTATTTTAGGTTAAGGCCAAGTTTTTTAAAAAACAAACCAACGAACAACACCACAAAAAAAAACCCCAACCCCCAAAACCGTTAGGTCAATACTTCTTTTATGTAAGCTCTTGTGGATAAAGTAAACTCCCTGGATTTGGACCCCCGCTGGTCTCCTAGGCAGAATCAGAAGACTTCTCCCAAAGCAGGTCTGTGCAGTACACTGAAACGTGGGGTTCTGACCAGTGAGTTAATTGTGAGCATGCTAGCTCAGGGAGTTTGTTTAATGAAAGAGGGACTAAAGGCACTTACTTACCTTCCACAATCAATAAATACTGTCAATGCAAGTCTAGTACAAAAAGGTTTTATTGAAAAGTGCATGTTTTCACAGACCAACATCAGAAGCACAGTCCATGTACACTTAACATTTCAGCACGACATACAAATTGGAATACAATCAAATATATTAAAATAGTTTCAATTACCAGCATTGAAACAGTTTTCAGTATTAGTGCAAAAAAGGCAACCCAAACAAACTGCAGACAGTAGCTGAGAAGTGTTTTCCCGTGTTTTAAAAAAAAAAACAACTGGAGCCAGCCTCTGCTCTCCCAGTGCGGAAGAGGGCTTCAGTGTCTTCACACTGTAGACAGATGTTTCCTTTTACATTCAAAACAAGAACATAATTAATAAATCAATGGCACAAAACAAACCTACACACCCTTTAGCTTTTAAAGCTCTTAAACTGAAAACCACAGACCAACAAATTGTTTATGAAAAGTCCACTGATAACTGAAAGCCTTTTACAGTATGTGCTTTGGCATAATTTCAGTGCATTTCATTTTTGACAGGTTTGCTACTACTGTATGTTTAGTTTTGTATGTTCGCCCCGTGACTGGCAGTTCATTCCATTTGTTTTGAGACTATATTGATTTAGCTTTGCGGTCTCAAGTTTTGGCTTCAGTTCCAAGGGTTTTTCAAAGAAGTTAACTAATGACTGTTCAGTCAAGAGGGATGCTAAAATATGTTCAAAAGAGACAGTCCAGTCCCCTGTAGTCACAGGTGAAGGCTGAGAGTCTTTGTGAGGGGTCTTCACAGTGTCAGTAAAAACAGCATCCTGGTCTGAAGCAGAGGCCTCAGGCTGCAAGTCCTCGGTGAACTCATCTGATCCGCTCCCCAGGCTGATGCTTCTTTGTCCTACTTCTCCAATCTGAAGTAACAGCGTGGTCACGGTGGCAATGGCTTGATACAAATCATTCTCCTCTGGATCTTCATGAAACATGCTATACAAGGTTTTGCAGAACTGAATGAACTCCCTCTGTAAAGGAAGAAAACCTAAAATCAAATTACTGAAGAGCCACTCTATAGGTAACTGTAGGAGCCAGGCGAGGACACAGCACTGCAAAGGCAGGCAGAATGCTGTATACATTTATATGCTCATTTGTAACTTCTGCCTGGTTTTAAAAAAATGCTAGCGAAAGGATTTCAAACCCCACTGACACTAGGAAACCTTGGGTCTGCAAATCAAAAAGGGAACTGAGCAGAAAAGGATTTTGCTGGCTTGATGAAGGAGATCAGGACCTCTCAGATGACCAAAGGGCAAGGTATACAATCTGTTACTGGGGGAACTGGTGGCTGTTACACAGAACAAGTTAGAACCGAAGTAGCCATCCCCAGGCCTGCAAGCAACTTCCCTTCTGCTGTTTCTCTCCCATCTTACCTCAGCTCTTCTACAAATAAAATTCAGATATCTTCCCTGCCCAGCCCCTTTCTCTCCTTCCTTCCCTTGCTCATGCATGACAAGAGGAGTATCAGGCTAGAGAGGATGTTTCCATACCCTGTTACAAAATTATGAGACCTCAAGTTTCATACAGACACAGGATGGCTAATTCAGGGTGGGATGGACTGCAGTAAGTTTAGTCAAGTGATGGCTTTATGAGGGATTGTGTGGCCCTGCTGAGCTGACAGGTTAGGTACGTGCTACCCGTTTAAAACTTTATTTAGCAACTCAACGCAACAGCGATTCTGGGTGTAGGCCCATCTTTCTTCGCATGTCTATATACATTTGTTTTACCCTTTTGGGAATGTTTTCCCTCCAGTAGATTTCCTTATGCCAACAACACACACAAGGCTCTACTGGCATGAGGAAGGAGATGGTAAGATGATGAGAGCCTTCAGCTGTGTACATTCCTCATATACATACATACTTCATGCAGTTCTAGTCAGCATTTGGCTAAGACAGGGCAAGTCCCAGTTGGTGATGGACTAAGAAGTTACTGGTTTAGTGGAGAGGAGGTCAGGAAAGAAGGAACAGCAATATGCATTCTCAGGAATTCTTTGGGCTTAGAAAGAAGGCTTTTTCCAGCCGGCATGAGCCTCTTTTCCAGCCTGTTAGGCTGTAGGTGAGAGTGAGTCTGAAATTCTTTCTACTCAACAGCCAGTCTGAGGAGAGGGAGCTGCTAGAAAGGTAGCTGAGAGTTTTTAAACATGTGCTCCCTAGATCAGAGGAGCCCGATCCTCGACCGCTAAAGGACTGAACCTAAGCTCAGGCTGAAGTTAGGCCTCCTCAGAAAGAGCTAAACTGTTGTATCCAGTCATTTCCTGTTCGAGTACTCTCCAGTTCTTTAAAAGCAGACTACGGCCTCTAATGTACATACCTGGCTCATTTTTGGCAATTCTTTTTCAGTTTTAGTATCCTTTTCTTTGGCTAGATCCTTCAGCATCTGCTTCAACTGCTTTTGGTAATCTACTGCATCACCTTTTTTGGAGCAGACACAAAAAGGAGAATTAGTTTTCAAGTCACTGAAGTAAACTGACATTTCAAAATAAACCCCAGAGCGCAGAGATAATAGACTAGGGTTAACAAATGGAAAGTTAGTTAGCTTGTATGCACACGCATTAGAGAACCATTTTGGACATACCATTTGATTTTCCAATGACTAGCGGTCTTGAAGTTGACAGCAAAGGATTCTTTAATGGTGACTGGCTGTCTCGTTCATTTTCTGTGAGAGCTATCCAAAAAAAGTGGCAAATGTAATGATTAATCCTTCAAATGCTGCATAATGCTTATTTATGCTTTTAAAATTTTGAAGAAAACAAAATAATTGGGCAAAGACGTTTTTAAACAGTACTTCATTAAATCATACTGTAAAATTATGTTAATGTAAGTAAGTAATGTAAGTAAGACCGGTGCTGCAGCGAGAGAGTTGGAAGTTTGCCAAGTATGGCACATTTAATTAAAGAATCTGCACAGAAAAACTACCACAGAATTTTGTCACCTAATCAAAACTGGATCAAGATGTGATAAGGAGATTTGCACTGTAGATGGAGTACAAGCCATCCAGAAATGTTATTTCAGTTCATATTTGGCTGGAAGTAACCATGTAACTGGCTGCACAAGATCTCTGAATGCAGCAGATGCGAGCCTTGATATTGTGTACCTGTATTTTCATCCAAAAAGGTTTTGACTGGAGTAATTTTTAAAATGCGATGAGCATAATTACAAATGCACATCCTATACGCTCCCAGCTAAAGGAAGCAAGACAGGGTTCTTCATCAAGAGCCTTTTCCCAAAAACTTTAGGCAAGAGATTTTTGGGGAAATCGAGGTATTCATTGCCTTTCGGATTTCTTACCTGGTGGGATATGCAGCTTATACAGCAACTTTATCTTTTCATTCATTTCTCCATTATACATAACATCTGCACGGAAAAAAAAAGAACAAGAAAGAAGTGGACCAGAGCATTTACTTCCACAGTTTAAAATCAGTTGGGCATCTCTCTGTGCACAAAAGATAATTGTTTGCATGGACAATACATGAAAACATATGGCCAGTATAATACATTGAAATATTTTAAGTTGTTCCTGTCAATGAGGAACAGCAGGTGAGAGCCATCTGGTTTGGTCTTTGTTCTTGTAAAATAGACTGGGAGTACCTAACCCTACAGAGCTTCATCATCGTTTAAAAATATCAAGGAGGATGGCAGGGAATCTATCAAAAATCTGCTGACACAGATTAACAGGAATGTGAGAATGGAGAGACAGAAAACTCCCTTTGGGGCCATCATATTCTTAATATTTCTTCCCTTCATCCCTTCCTGCTGTTCTATACAATAAGCCCAAAGGAGATAACTACTTCTCATGTAATATAATTCGTTTTTTCAATGACTAGTAGAAATTAGAATCTAAACTTTCAAGTGCACTGAAATACTGTGAAGAACTTCTTTTTCTTTTTAAGTTGTATATCTCTAAGAATCAAAATCAAATAACAATTTAACACAGGGTGCCTTGGTTCACATGAAAAATTTCTAAAGAGCTTAAAGTGGTGAGAATACGGATTTACTGATTTTTACCGAAGCTGATTCAGTTTTTTTCATTTGGGGTCAGGCAACACAGAATCATTAAGGTTGGAAAAGACCTTCAAGATCATCAAGTCCAACCATCAACCCAACACCACCATGCCCATGAAACAATGTCCCAAAGTGCCATGTCCACACATGTTTTCAACACCTCCAGTGATGGTGACTCCACCACCTCCCTGGGCAGCCTGTTCCAATGTTTGACTACTCTCTTAGTAAATAAATTTTTCCTAATATCCAGTCTAAACCTCCCCTGGGACAACTTGAGGCCATTTCCTTTCGTTCTATCACTAGTTACTTGGGAGAACCCGAGACCAACACCCACCTCACCACAACCCCCTTTCAGGTAGTTGTGGAGAGCAGGATTTGAGATGTGGCACTGTCTTTGTCAGACAGATTTTGGGACAGGCAGCCTCATCCAG